TATACATAAATAAATAAATAGTTTTTATTTTATTTCTTAATTTTTAATATCCAAAATTTTTTACAAAATTATACATTTTCCGTATTTAAATATTCTTTGTAACAGCCATAGAAAAAATGTTCTCTTACTGACAGAGAGAACTCAAAAGCAAATTAATGAAAAGGCTGCTTACATTTTATAAAAGACGTTTTATAACTTGAATAGAATTGTGAAGGAGTAAGTCGGCAAAATAGCGTTCAGGTTTACTTAGACAATATTTGAAGACATAATAAGTACTTTAAAACTAATTTGTTTACAATTTAATTTTCAAAAAGATATTAAAAAGTTATTTGAGTAAACGCTCTTCGCTGTAGAAGGTCTTTATTTGATAAATAGTGAATTGACAAACAGACCGTTTTAACATTCCATTTTCAAAAGATACTCTTGCTCGATACTTACAAATTATATTTTCAACCTTTTTTTTCAGTTTATGTAATCTGAAAGCGAGAAAAGTATTCGGGAGCATTTAAAAAGGTCAGAACAATAAAGGATCTGCGAAGTCCAATACAAATAAATAACAATTGAAACTTTGACCAGTTCGCTAAGAAGTATTTATCTCTGAATCTGTTTCTGTGTACCTAAGAGGATTGTGACCCAAATAAAGGGTCTTCAAAGGTGTCTCGCTAAGCAGATTGGTGGCTACGTGACACGACAGCCAAGTGCAAATTCTTCCTAATCATCACGTTAAGTTTTCTTCTACGTGCTCTTTGCTTCCTTTCGTCCTAGTAATTGAAATTGACACAATAGACGCCTCTTGCTCCTATAATTAATAATATTAAAGGAACACTTGTTGTAGTAATAATGCAAGGTTTTGATCTCTCAGTCATTAAATTATTTAAAATAAATTGTGTAAAGCTTTAACAGCCATAGTTTGCCGTATCATTGTTTTTCGCGGTGTTCGGCTGAGGTACGCGAGAAGAAGTTTCCGACTGCTCCTGAGAATAACAACAATATCTGATGATGCCGTCCACTCATAATAGCTAAACGTCGACAACCTCTTCTCGCTTACGTCGGCCGAACAGCCCGAAAAACAATAATATGTTGATTATTTAATGTATAAGGTAAAGGTTTTAGTAATTTAATACGACATTCACAAATTTTATATATATACCCGATATTGACAAAAAAAATATTCAAATTCAGTCAAATTTTATGACTGTTCGTTTGTTTTGTTGAAATGTAATTTAAAACCATAAAGAGATTTTCTCATTATACGTTTTAATACGAGTCACAATATGAATCGAAGGATATCGTCAAAACAAAAACAATTTTTACCAATGATATCTAAGCTAATAACTCGAAATGGAATACTTAATTCGGTTGAAACAATAGTACTTACGAAGCGGGTTATTAAATTTCGGCTATCTCGAGCCAATCTCGATTGTTTGGGCCCGTGTAATCCGGTATAAGTAGTGTTCGGCGACACGACCTTATAATAACCGCAATTTATAACTACCGCCACAGAATGTAACCCACTAATCTCTAGCATTATTGGTACATTATTGCATATTTAATTGTTATAAGGATATTCTATCGCATTATTTTAGAATTGAAATATTATATGAATAGTATTTTTAATAGTATTCCAACTTACGTACGTATTTAATAGTAACACAGGTCTATAAGTTAAAAGAAACTAATATGCATAAAAGATAATATGTTGTATTTCAACGTTCATTTTTTATTCTCTTTGTAGACCAAATAGTACGTTAGACCGCTAGGAGAGCTAAGAAACAGTATAGAACTTCTATACTGTTTCTTAAGAAAATTATCCCCAAACTTCATAATAAGAGTTTGACTTGAGATATATCTTTCTAAATAAAATACTTTAACGGTTTAAAAAGCGATATATTGGTTAAACTTATTTGAAAATTATTTTTAACTTCGGCCCGTCTCCCCGTGACCACGACTGCTGCAAAGCATCCGAAACGTCGGGCCGAAGTTAAAAATCATTTTGAAATAAGTTTAACCAATATATCGCGTTTTAAACCGTTAAAGTGTTTTATTTAAATTTGTACTACTCGCGTAAACTATAGACAGTAAATACCTTTCTGTAAATATTTTTACACACTTATCTTGTAATGTCGAAGTGTTTTCTCCTGAACAGACCCGAGCGAAATTTAGATATTCCTACCACCCTACAATTTATATGCCGATTTCCAAAACGACATCTACCATGCTTTAGAAAATATACAAACAGATTTTTAAAAAGATTACCAAGTGGGTATCGAATCCATGACCCATTGTTACCACCTAATTTATATTATATATACCCACCCATTTTAACACCGACACCTAACCATAAAAATATAACATAGAAAACGTTAGTCTATGCTTATCACACAATCGAATTTAAGTAACAGAACGATATCACTTATAAATATTAATCCTTTAAATCGAAATTCGAACAACACCCAAACAAAACAAAGTTTAATTCGTTCGTCAAAATGGGATTTAGAATAATTTTGTTTCTTATAGAAATAATAAGGTTTTTCGCGCTTCTCGCTCCCTGAGTGGCTTGAAGGTGACGGGGGAATAGCAAAGTCTTTCAACTTCGTTTACACCGCTCACTGACAACGCGAAGCGAAGCACGACTCTCCTTAGAACCCCATTTCATGAATATTCATGCAGATTTAAGGATAGTGTTGAGCCTCTGCGTAAATAGTTGTGGTTGAATACGTGTAGAATTTAAATACCCTTTGAGGCATCGATAACAGACACTTAAACAGCCACTAAGGCCTATAATATTGCTCTAGAATATATCATTTGTTGTAATATCTAGTTTCAAATTACTGTCTCAAAGGAATGGTATTTACAATATAATAGTGATGTGGTTAAACATGGGTCGAATGTGAATACGTTCGATGCAAATTAAAAGTGATGAGGTAATATTTTGTTTGTTTTTTGTTTCCTTTAAATTAATTTTTCTTTTAAATAAAATACTTTCAACGGTTTAAATTATTTTCAAAACTACGGCAATAATAGTGATAAACGTTCGATTTACTTATTTCGATAAACAAACATTTTAAGACAGTTAAAATATCATAACTGATTTAAATAAAACACTTAAACGTTTTAAAATGCGATATATTAGTTAAACTTATTTGAAAATGATTTTTAACTTCGGCCCGACGTTTCGGATGCTTTGCAGCAGCTGTGGTCACGGGGAGGAATTTTTTTAAATACGTTTCATTCAAAAGAAGTACGTGGAGTAAGTTTTCTTCTTTTGTGAACGCATTGATTGATTGAAGTAGTCCTATATAGAGGAGTACACGACGCCCTCACACTAGTCGCTAAATTATCATTGTTTCTTAATTGAAGCTATAAAGAAGTGGGCCTATTTCTTTTCACTGCATTTTCGCCCATCCCTATGCACTACACAAAATTATAACATTACAATTAAACAACCATTACACTAAATAAATACAAAACTGGAGCGAATTTCAAGAAAGTAAATTCCAGGGTATTCTTTACTAAATATTCATTTCAGCGCAGAGTATCGGAACTAAAATAATTGTTCGTTCCTATCCAAATGAACTCGGACTTCCGAGAACGAATTTCTTCCAGTTTAATATCAGTGATTCAGAAGCAGGCAATAATAATCTTTGAAGCTTTGTTGACTTTACTAGTTCCAGTAGATGAACCAGCAAGTTCGAAAGCGGTGCTTACATTGGGCGCATATGCATAACTAATATGCAGGTCCTTGAGTTTCAAAGTTATAATATGCTACTAAACAAGAACAAGTTTATTACGACGCACGCTTCACTAAGTCAGACATGCGAAATTTTTATATAATATAAGGTAAGTGTGCACTACTTATTTTAACTAACATTATTAAAATGGCCTCAGAATATAAGTATTTATAGTAACATCATACTAACTTTAAGTGTTATAATTTCTTACAAGACCTTAAATGAGTTTTAAATAAGTGGAAAATAATCTATACTAATATATATAGCTTAAGAAATTGTTTGTTTGAACGCGCTAATCTCAATAACTAATTGTTCAAATGTAAAAAAAGAATAATTTGTCTTTTTAAGATATAGTGTGTTTTTTAGACTAAAACAATGATATGCTGAACGATGGCCGTGAAAGCCTTATACAATTTATTAAAAAAATGTCCGCGACACTGTCTGTAACTTTAAGATTAAGTCGAACGACGCTATCCGAACAACGGGTCGCGAGCTACGAGAGGCGATTGATGTCGTGGGTAACAGCTTACATTTACAAAGATAAAGAGGTTTGCAAAAAGAAATTTGGATGCCCAAAATGACTATTCTACGTGGACGAAGTTGGTGACACATCTAGTAATAGATAACCAGTACACGACTTGAACTTCTGCCACCAGGCTGCTTCTCTTCTACCATATGAGATTCATAGAAATTTCTCATCCTTATTTATATATAGTCAAACACTACTTTTGGGCTCGTTTATGTACTGGAAGCAATGTATAGCTAAAGGGTTCGACCTCCATGGGGTCAACATCTTTCTAATTAATTTATAAATTTTCTGAAGCATATCGGACTTCGTCTGAAAATCTATAGACAGAGGTGGTAAACATATCTAAGCCCGGGTCACGAACCATTATTTACAGATAAAAAAGCCTTCAAGTGTAGACGCGTTTCGGTTCCAGTCTGTGAATTTCCGAATATCCAAAGCTAGAATAAGCCGACAGCGCATGTGGTTAAGATGTGTGGCTGGGGTATTTCGCCTACCATCAAGTTAACGTAATGCTTGCTGTCCTCCTTTATCATACAAAAAATTACGTCTCCGTTACATCTTGTATCAAATACAGATATGGTCTGGTCTTCAATATCTACAGCTATTTTCAAATTGTTTACTAAACGATGACGACTTGGAAGAGATACGAAGTTTACCGAATTCTATACAACATTATTATAAACGTAAAAATTAATATAAATTATCATGTACTTAAGGACAATTTTTACATTTCTTGTCGGCTATAATTTATAATTGTCAACGGAGAATTTGCTAACAAAGCCAAGCATTTGAGTGGAACCCAAGGCGACGGTGCTTGACAGCGACAGGCGTAACAAGATAAGCGGTCGACACGCGAACCGTCTGCCCGCCCGTTGCTGCCCGCCTTCTCCTTCGCCCTCGGCACAGTTGCTACATACTACCAGTTGGTCTAAAAGGTATTACTCCTAATAATAAAATCATTTCAACTGTTGGCCCGGTAGTAATGTCCACAAATAACACCCTATAATGCGGGGCAAACAAAGAAAGTGTAATGTGTGTCTGATTTAAAAAAATCTCCTTTTTTTGTTTCTGTTTTGTAAGCGAAATACGCATGCATATATTTCTCTTTTTCATTCTAAAGAATAATATTAATACCTTGAGCTTGTTTCTATAGAGTTTCCCAACTGTTTGTATTATGCTTTATTCTTGTCCACTATAATCCCTTCAGACGTTGGGATACTCTTGCTCGCTTATATCGGCTTAGTCTACTTACCTTCTTGGACCATCTGGAACTGTCCATCCATTTCAGTAATTCTAGATATTAATAACTTTTATTCAAATAGGCATAGTTAGGTACAAAACAGAACAACAACATTTACTTAGCAGGAACGAAGCGAGAATATTTACACAATATGCATGGAATATTTGCTGACTGCGCTCGCACGTATCTTTCAGATCCTCATGTTCTTATTTATCCTTCCCCGTTTCACAGACTTGAGATCTTGACGTGGATGTCTCGGTAAAGAGTGTGAAGTCTGTTGGCTCTCTAAATATTTACTTGATGCAGCTTTGCAGCAAACATTTGGCAAGTACGCCGACGTTTCGTGTAGCCATAAATGACGGCGTGTTAGTAAAATCGATAGAGTTCTGCTCCGGCCAGCAGGTCAGGGTAATAAATATTTAATCAAAATTTTAATAAATAACCGAAGTTATATGGCAACAGGAAATTTAGTCGTCAATAGTAAACGACGTGCTCTAGCCTGTTACCTGAGCGAGGCTTGTGTTAAGTTTGCTTTTTGGGGTGTACATGCCCTACGTACATAAACTGTACAAAATAACTTTACAATTACAATATATGTATATGTTATCCATAGAATGATAATGTCCGCTAAGAAGAGCAAGGTTCGGCATCATGTTAATATTTTTTAATAGTAATTATCAATATTATGATAGAATTAGCATTTGTTTTTTATCATAGTTGTTTAAAAAAAAATACTTTTGCACGTCGCTTACTATGACTAGTGCCGTTTTTGCTTTTTGTCGTTTCACTAGTACTGTGCGCACTAGTGAAACGGCAAAAAGACCATTGTTATGGTGCAAGGTCATTACGCAATTAGGAAATATAGTCTTTTTTGTAAATTACAGCAAGACAGATAGGAGGGAAAATAGTTCTCATTATGGCATTTTTTTTACACACACGCGCGGTCACATGTTTTGCTGTTAGGCTATAGCAAAGTATGGAGTCGTACAAACAGGTCCCAGAGCTCCTTCAAAGCACCGTAGCGGGCTATGAAGGAGATATATCAAAGTAACGGAAAATTATTTGATTTATAATAGTAGTGTTGCATTCGCTTTTGCCGGAGCGCTAAAGGTAGCCTTTTGAGATAACACTTGAATAATTACCGCTATCATTTCTGAGAACCGTGTCTGTATCAAGGCGAGTTCTCTAACCAATTCAAGAAAGTCAACAAAAGACACCGATCGAGAGCGCGGTAAATGTGCGAGTTAACGTAATAGCTAAAAGCACTCAATGCTTACAAAGTCTTGTCGGTCGCTTTATGGCTACACTAACTGTTAATTTCCTACGCTCTACTAAAGGAAATTCGTCTCTGAGGAAAATATTGCGGACCGCCACGGTCCATTGTTCAACATTCGTCCGTCGTATTTATGTATTCATGATAGACATATTCATACACATTATATTAATAGTAGGGTTAAATATCTGGGCCATATATCTTCTTAATAATATTTTCTTACACATGATAGACACCATATAAATCAAAAATTAATTATAAATTTAATTTCATTCTTCAAGCACGGAATACTGTGGATGTCGGTTTAAGTATTTTTTTTCAATTTATAATCGATTTTAAAAATCGTAATCGTAAGTGTGAAACATGTTTATATCAAATGTGATGTTTACATTTACTAATAAATGTAATATTAAAAATCAACATTATTTCTATTCAATAATTCGTGTCGTTTAAAACAGAGATTTTGAAACGAAGTAAATTAACTGTACGCCATTTTTTTCAGTTTGTAGAGGCGTCGCTCGAAATGTACTGAGAAGGTTTTCGCACATAATGCGTAATCTTATCGGAGCCCGCAGAGCGGAAAATAGAAGACTGGCGTTGTATTGGAAAATCGCTAAATCCTCCAATCTCCATCGAGCGTGACACTCAGCATTCAGAGCAACTCTATCAGTCTAAGCCGGGCCGATATCAAGCATTCTTTGCTTTGATCAACAGTTGCTTTGAAATAACTCACTAAATCGACATCCTAAGACAATATAGAGTCACAATCCGAAACAGAATATACCACAATCTGTAAGCGTTGTTTAATTTGAAGCAAGAATTAAATAAAGTAGACTATTATAAGATTTAAAAATCGAATAAAAATTGAAAAAAAATTCGATTCAGTCAGCTCTCTGTGCTGTGTGTGTGCCGTTGCCCTACCAATGCGCTACCGAGTCCGGAGTCTACGGAACGCTGACGATGCCGGTTCAAGTCCTGCCCGAGTCGAAATTTTTTCAATTTATTTTCGATTTTTAAATTATATAGTGTCTTCATGTGCATAACATAGTGTAATAACATGTAAAAAATATTAATGTTTTCAAATATTATAACATTATTATTAATAATCGAATTTGCCTAAGAGTATAATTTGGAAACTACCTTTTCTTGTAAAAAGTAGTGTCGGCGATATTAAATTAAATTAATGTTAAAGAGATAAAGAAAACTTTTATTAGGTTGTCCTAAAATTGTCCTTGAAAAAATCTGTTATAATATCCCAGCTCCGTAACTATAATAATACTTATATAGACATAAAATTAAATCTTATATTTTTAGCAAATTAAGTAGTCTCTGGCGAGAGCTTGGGCGATTGTACAATAAATAAATGTTCAAAATTTTAGCAAATTACAATTAGATTAATCTATACTTACTAATTTATAAAGTTAAATGTGTTTGTTTATTTGTATGTTTGAACGTGCTAATCTCAGGAACTACTGGTTCGCGTTGAATTCTTATTGTGTTGCTTTAACACATTGCGATGTAACTAAAAGGAGCGAAGAAACAACGGGAAATGTGGAAAACACGGGGAAAATTATTAATCTTAGACGGTTTCCAATCCGTACGTTGCGAACGGTTCAAGATACCCAAATAATATTTATGAAATAATTATTCCTCTTTAAAGAATCTAAAAAACATTTTTTTGGATTAACTTGCAAGAACGACGATAGCCGATAGACAGTAGAAAAGATTTAACGGGTTCGATTTCCACGGGACCCAGAGTCACAGACGAAAATGTCGTGGAGTTGAATCGCGTTTCGGTTTCAGGCAGTTCCAATATGGCTGAGGTATTTTGCCTTTCCTCAAGTGAGTCTCAAGCTTGTCTGTCCTCGTCTATCATAACATATGCTTCGTTGAATTGGTTAGTTTATTAACTTTGGCTAGTGATGTCTTAAAACACAACAGTTGCGTTTAATAACATAGGATGCATAATTAAAATATACATAGCACTAAACGATAACAAGAGCATAGTTATCGTTTCTCTGGAATAAACTTAATTAAAACGGTAAACATTTTCGTCTGATGTATGCGAAATTTGTCGCGGAATAAAGGGTGAAACAAAAGAGCGGAGCTCCGAAAATTGCCATGTCGACCTCGAGAATGGCGCAGTCAATAGCGGCCGCGGTGGAATTATGCAAAGTATGCCGCGGGAAAATTGATATAAAAATTGCCCGTAAAGCATAAAATTAAAGCGTGGATCAGCGGACGGTGTTGCAACACGCTAAATACCTGTCGTATTTCAGGCGCCATCTGTCGGCGACGGCACTGAGACTGCCGCTTTTAATTTATTAACCAATTTGCTGAACGCTCCGAACCGCGCTCCACTCGTTATTTTGTTTCTTGACTTAATATCCTTAAGGTCATAATCCGTGGAATAACAATTTCACAAGATTGTGCGAGTCCTTTATTGAATTATTTTATGATGTAACGCGTTATTGTCCACGGTTCCAAATATTGTTTGCGTTATACTAAAAGCGTTTATTCTCTATACATCTTTTACGCTTTATAAAAACGCTTCCTAATAATTGAAATATTGCACATATTATAAACCGTTTTATTAACGACGGACAATTATGTTCTATAGTTTTTTCAACTTACATTATAACAATAGAGACTACTAAGATTACGAATAATGACCGTATAGTAACATAAAGTTACGTGTCTTTAAAATAACGCATAATTGTGTCGTTTACTTAAGTTATCTCTTAATATAACACGCCGTAGAATATGTTAACGTGTTTCCTTCAGTTAACGTTACTTGCTTCTGTGAAGTAACTTAATAAGACGGGCACGTTGCAAGAACTCGCAGATTTCTTACGAAATCTTCATCAATTAACAAGATCTTTTAATCATACATTGCTTTGGAATTAACGTTGAAGAGATAGGTTACAGAGAATAATTGTGTTCAATATAGTTTCTGTTACCATATTAAAGGGCCACTGCTGTGCATAGGCCGAAATAAATCTGTCGCACAATATTATCCTATTCCTTTGATCTATTTAAAATGCAATTTTCCATGTGCGGCTTGGACACAATGCTGAGGCAGTTTCATTGCTTGATGTTTTGTTCCTATTATATATTTTTTATAGACTTCTGTGCACTGAACACAAATAGTAAAAAAGGCAACGCGTTTAAGCAGCGGTTTAGGTAATATTTACACATAGGTACGTATACATATATAACGTATTATAATTTTAACGGTTTAAAACGAGCCATATAAACACAGCCGTGGAGACGGCTGCTGCAAAGTATTTAAAACGTCAGGTCGTAGTTACATAAAGTTAAAAATCAGTTAACCAATACATGTCGCGTTTTCAGTCTTTAGAAGTGTTTTATTTAAAATTGTAGAACTCCTGTAAAAGCAATACTAAAGTTATAGTCTTAAATTTAGTTTTGATATAATTAAAATGCTTTTAAAAGCTACTTTCCCACACATAGAAAACCGTAGACGAAAGCTAGTACTTTTATATTAACGTTTTTTTCATTGTCGACGTGTACAGTCGCAACGTAAATAGACGTATCTCGAGAATTTGTTTTAATTTCGTTTTCAGACTACTTACTCAAATATGAAACGCTAAAATAATTTCTCTCCGCGCTGCATCCACCGGTCTCAGCGGAAAGTGTGTCACTACAATTGTGGCTCATAACAAAATATTCAGCATATCCCAGTAGAGTCAAGTAATATCATTACGTGGGAACACGCCCTCTGATTTACGACTAAAAATATAACCGTG